TTACTGACTAAGCAGCTTCAAGAGGAGCCCTCCAGGAACCAACCGCCCCTACCCAGCCGCCACCCCCAATCCAGGTCGCTACTCCAGAGCCCCCAGCTCGCCCCCCACCCAGGAGCCCTCCCGGTTAATGCAAGGGTTCTGGCGAATGGAGAGGGGGCTACGGGCTGAGAAACTGAGGCAGGGCCTGGGCGGGGGAGGGGTGGACTTCCCAGCTCCTTGTTTACCAAGCACTCACCCCCCCTTCCCCCCCCCTAGTTGCTCGGAGTGGCCAGGCCCGGCCGGGGGCGGGGAGGGGTGGGGGGAGGTGGCACCGATGGCGCCAGAGCGGCCTCCTCTCCACGCACCCGCGTTCCAGCCGGTGCCGCCCACCCGGGTCCCGCAGGCCGCTGCCGAGGGCGATCCCTGCATCCCCGCCACCCCCACCCCTGCACCCTCCATCCCGGGGAGGGACCAGGGGGCGGAGCGGGCGGTGACCAGCCGTGACGCGAGCCCCGCCCGCCCATATAGACGCTCCCGGGGGGCGCAGGGACCGTGCTCCGCCGCCAGCCCAGCGCCGCCGCCGCCGCCGCATCCACCGCCCGCGCCGCAGCCGCAGCTCCCAGCGCCCGCGCCACCGCGTCCAGCAGCAGCGCCACCGCCATGCGGGAGATCGTGCACCTGCAGGCCGGCCAGTGCGGCAACCAGATCGGAGCCAAGGTGCACGGGGAGCGGGGGAGCCGGGCCCCGGCAGGAGGCGGCCGTGGTGGCCGAGAGGCTCAGAGCAGGGTCCCCGGAGCTGGGGTCTTTGGGGGACTGGGTCCCCAGGAGGCCAGCACCCCAGGGACGGTGGGGGAGGGGTCGCCACCGACAGGGCCACGCCGAGAACAAAGAGGCCTATAGGAGCGGGACCCGGCCTCTGCGCGCGTGCCACAGCTGGCCTCGCAGCTGGACGACTGTCCCCTCCAGGCGCACAAAGAGACCCCGCCCTTCCCCCCACCGCGGGCTGCAGCCAGGGTTCGCTGGCACCGGCCGGCTCCAAGCGGGTGCTGACTCCGCGGCACCCCGCCCCCACCGCTGCCTTCCTGCTGCCTCATCCTCCTGTCAGCACCACCCTGCCTCTAAGTCCCCCACTCACCTTGCGACGGGCCGGGAGGCAGCCAGGGAGGGGGTTCAGCGCGGGTGCGGGGAGGTCCTCGGCCTGGCCACCTGCTCGCCATCTCTCAATCCTTCCCACCACCCCCTTCCAGTTTTGGGAGGTGATCAGCGACGAACATGGCATCGACCCCACCGGCACATACCATGGGGACAGTGACCTGCAGCTGGAGAGAATCAACGTGTACTACAACGAGGCCACAGGTAGGGCGAAACAGCCACCTCCCACCTGGGGGTGGCAGGGGACAAGATGCTCCCAGGCGCCTGCCTGCGGGGTCCTGGCCCTCACCAGAATGCCCTCCATCTGTCTCCCTGCAGGAGGAAATTATGTCCCCAGAGCTGTCCTGGTGGACCTGGAACCCGGCACCATGGACTCAGTGCGCTCAGGCCCCTTCGGCCAGATCTTCCGGCCTGACAACTTTGTGTTTGGTGAGTCCCCACCAAGGGGCGCAGACAGAGAAGCCTCCTTGTCCCTTTTGCTTCCAAATGCTTGATGAAAACCCTCTACCTAGCACCTGCAGAGTCAGCACTGTCAGGGCCCTGATGGGGGACGTCCAGGCCACCATGGGAGCCCTGGGGAACAGCAGGGAATCCAAAAGGTACAGAGGGGGCTTCAGAGAAGGCTTCCTGGAGGAGGTGGCATTTTAATTCAACAGTCTGAACGGGAAGCAGACTGCCTGGGTGCGACTCCCACCCCCGACACTTCATGCATGCAACAAATAGTGAGCACCTACTGCATACCGAGCCCTGTTCCGGAAGCTGGGGATACAGAGGAAAACAAAACAGCCCCAGTGGAGCTCACATCCTGGTAGAAGGAGCCGGGCAACAGAGAATTCTAACTTTTTTTTTTTTATTTTGAGACAGAGTCTGGCTCTGTTGCCCTGGCTAGAGTGCCGTGGCGTCAGCCTAGCTCACAGCAACCTCAAACTCCTGGGCTCAAGCAATCCTCCTGCCTCAGCCTCCCAAGTAGCTGGGACTACAGGCATGCGCCACCATGCCTGGCTAATTTTTTCTATATATATATATTTTTAGTTGTCCAGATAATTTCTTTCTATTTTTAGTAGAGACGGGGTCTCGCTCTTGCTCAGGCTGGTCTCGAACTCCTGACCTTGAGCGATCCACCCGCCTTGGCCTCCCAGAGTGCTAGGGTTACAGGGGTGAGCCACCGCGCCCGGCCAGAGAATTTTAAAGAAGTAAAACTCAGCCACTGATGGAGTGGGCTGGGTGACTTTGAATGGATTCCTTAACCATCGTGTGCCTCAGTATCCTTGTCTTGAAAGCAGGGGTTATAAAATGCCTGCTGCTCAGGATTGTGAGGTTTCATGCTGTGAATATGGGTAATTTTGAACAGTGCCTGGCACACGGAGAGGGCAAACAGGCATTTGGTGTCATTTTCATTATCATCGTCACCATCTGCAACCTAAAAGGTGAGTAAGACTTGACTTGGCCAAGCAGCATTGCAGAGCCAAGAGATGGGAACGACATATGTGAAGGTGGTGGGGCGTCCACACCCTGTGGCAGTCCTTCCGGGAAAGCTCTCCTGGACACACACACACACACACACACACACACACACTGGCCTCAAGCCCCAGGTTCCACCCTGCCCCAGCCAGTCTCCTCCTCCGAGCTTGGTGGCTTAGAGTTTGGAGTCTAGGAGGACTGACAAGACAAGCTGTGTGACCTTGGACAAGTGACTTCCCCTCTCTGATCTATACGAAGGTTCCAAAAGATAATGATGCACCTGTGTGGGTGTGGCCCATCACAGGTCCTCAGGAAAGGGGTGGGGAAAGATGGAATGAGGTTGGCCAAAGGGCATGAGGAATTCGGAGATAACCCCGGGGGCCAGGGATGGGGGACTCACAGTTGGGCCAAGAGATCTATGGCCTCTGGGAAGTAAGTGGGTGGGGGGCTGGGGGCCGTGGGGCAGCCAGACCCCCTGGTTCCTGGCTGCCCCACTCACTTGCAGTGTGACTTTCTGCAGGTGACCTAACCTCTCTGTGCCTCCATTCTCTCACCTGTAAAATGAAAGTAAGAAGGGTCCATGCATGCTTTGGGGAGTTGGGGAAAGGATCCAGGGACGCAGGGCATGCCCCGCATTTAGTGCATTTGAGAAGCTCGGTGCAGTCAGACTTTGAGGTTCATCATTCTCTTTTGGAAACTTCACACAGATCAGAGAGGGGGCGGTTAGAGATGGCTTCTCTGAGGAGGTGACGTTGAGTAGAGACCTGAAAGGAGGTGAGGGAGGAGTCATGTGAGTACCTAAGGAGAAAGCATCCCAGGCAGAGGCACAGTCCGTGCAAAGGCCCTAGGGCAGGACCACACCCGGCGAGTTGGAGGCACAGCGAGGAGGCCTGTGTGGCTGGAGCAGAGAGAGGAAGGGAGGGTGGGGAGGAGACAGGGCAGGTGGTGCAGGGCCTTGTGGGTCACAGGGAGGACTTGGGCTTTGACCCCAAGGGAGGTGGGAGCCATGGAGGGCTATGGGCAGAGAGGAGGGACGGGACCTGACTCAGGCGCTCACGGGTGTCCCCTTGTGATTGCCATGGGGAGGACAGGCTGTGGGGTGAGATGGGAACCTCACTTATCCAGACAGAGGAGGAGATTAGAAGAAATATTCACAATAACACCAGCCAATCTTTTAATACTAACCCTTGTCATCTTGGGTCTTGTGAGATTATAGGCAATAAACATGATTAATAAGAAAACATAGGCCAGGCGAGGTGGCTCACGCCTGTAATCCTAGCTCTCTGGGAGGC